ACTCAGCAGGACTTGCTGATTAGCTAATTAACTGGATGATGCGTGGGAGAGCAAGAAAACCTAATACACAGTCTGGTCAAACGTTTCATTTTTGACATTTTTGAAAATGTGTCTTATCAATATTATTAGTATTTCTTAAACATCACCTTATCAGTATTTTTGCAATGATCAACATTTCAAAATGTTGAAAACACATACAAATCTTATTTGGGTATGCTTATTTTTCTCATCACATTCATTCAAAACACACAAATGGTGTAACAGTCATACAGCTATAAACATCTTTAATTCCACAGCGGCCCAGAAACGGATTTTCCTTTAGTCACCTTTACCTGTGATGTCTCAGGAGTAAATCACGTAACATAATATTTACAGGAGCTGATAAGAGAGCTCCACAAACATTAGCTTAGGTAAATAGAGGGGAATTCATAGCCACGTCTGGGTCAGTTGGCATAAGTTTAATGCTTTATGAGTCTAGAAAGATAACAAAGCAATTCTAAATTGAATTTCATAAGTCATTTGATTATAATTCAAAATCTTGGTTCCTTCCAAGGTTTCTTGTTCCCTGAATAAAAGAAGTAAGAGCATGCAAAAGTGTGGGTACTTTTGAAAAAAGAAACGTTTGCCTGGGGGGTGACCCAATGCCTCATCCCCTCCCAGAGTTGGTGCCTATATGTATTATGTGTGATCCGTATTTTAACCTTAGAATTACTACATTGAAAAAAAAAAGAAAAACATTTGCGGCTATAGCCCAGTAGCCTGGACCCAGTCACGCCCCTGATTTACGGTCCGTAAAAATGTTCCTTTTCATTGTCACTTAATTTATGTTGTGTTATCAATGCATCACATTGACATGACACTGATTTCTTTTAGAGCCTGATCTGCTTTTGAAAAATAATGCCAAAGCATCAACATCTAACATCTCACATCATCTAGCATCTCACTTTAACCCCACAATGGATGCAGTCTAGTCCAAGATTTTAGCACAGGATGCATCAGTCTTTCAGGTTTTCCTCTAAACTGCAAAAATTAATAATAATAAAAAAACAATTTCCATCTTTATTTGGCCATAGTGTCCAAAAAATCCTTGTCCTGATTATTATCAGAGTTGGGAAAAAATACTTGAAAAATGGCTGAATACTGAATACACTATCCTAAATGCATATTCAGAAAATATGTAAAATACATTGATAAGCCAAACAGGAAAAACTCTGCATTTATCATTTTTATTTAATTCACATTGTTCCTTGCTGTACCTGTCCAGAGTGGCCCTCTTCACTTGCTTCAGTCCACGGTTGTTCCCATAATCACACTAATGTCTCACAAATTAAGCGAACAATTGACCATATCCCAATCTGAGGAGGTATGATTTAATCTTAATACATCAATGCCCTCTGGTGTCTTTTTATGGAATTGCAATTCAATCTATTTATTCACTAAAACTGTCTTCTATGACGTGATTTCTCCGTCTGAAAGATATCATTAAAATTATCTTCCTTTTATCAACAAATATCAAATATTACTTTATTGGAAGCAGAATTTTTGTCACATAATACTCCAGATTGGGACAATAGCTATATCCTCCCTCCAGTCCACAGCTCATCTGGCCGTACTCAGTCTCAGAGGACTGCAGTCCAGACCAACACTCACAGCTTTCTCTATAATTGGACAACCCCAGCAGCTACAGGAGGACTGGCTGTCCCTTCCTGAATGCAGGGAAAGTGATGTCTCAAAGGTCATCTCTCCCACTGACCCTCATAGATTCCACATGCAATACCATGGCAACGGCATGGCAACACCTTAGAAACAGCCTTAGCAACCACCTGGGCTAGCACAGCAATGGCTTAGCTACAGCTTAGCCCACCTACAATAACATAGGAATGGCTTAGCAACCACCTGGGATACCATAGCAACGACGGCCTAGTGTTTTTTGGGTGCCTCACTGAAGAAGAGAAAACCAGCGTGAACCCACAACAGCAGGATCTCATGAATGCATGTTTTGGGCCTGTTTCACTTATATTCTTAATAATCTATGAAGTAAAAGATTCAAACAGAACCTGCATTAGTACACAAATCCACAGCTTGAGACATTGTTCCTCTCAGAACAAATCTATGTATCTCCATTTTCTCTACTTTTCATTTTTTATTGAGTTTAAAAATGAAAATACCTGTGTCAGAATTTCTTGAAGGACAGACAAATAGAAATGGTCCAAAATGACTTGTAATAAGGTCTTGGTACATTAACTTAATTTGAAGTGAACAATTTTTTCTTTGGCTGTAAAGTTTGGAGATATAAGCTTTTGTTGGACAGTGATGACAGTGATGTTATTTATTGATGACAAATGGTCACTCAACTGGTCAATCTGAGAAGATCTACTACAATCCTACAACATTGCATTCCCCAAAATCAGTTGTATTCCTCTACATTCAAGTATTTTAAGTATTAATGACAGGACAGCTTGTATCTAAAACAGTCTGGCGAAGTTTCCATACTAGTTTGAGTTTATTCACAGATGGAAAATCACACAGAGCTCTCAGAATGAAAAAGTTCCATCTGCATTTAATCCCTCCAGATTATTTTTGACCTGTTTTGTACTGAAAACAACACATCGGCACATTATGTAATGTGTTACTTCATGAATTTTATTGTATTTTTTAACAAACACATCCGATTTTGGTTCTTGCAACATATTAAAAAACAGTTGGGACAGTAATGAATTTACCACCTGTAATGTTGTAATGTTGCCATTCATTTTTTTTCAACACTTACAAGACGTTCAGGAAGACACCAAGTGATGAAGTGTCTCAGGTGTAATTTTGCCCAATTCTTCCTGCAAAGTTTTAAGGTGTGCAACAGTTTGGGGTCTTCATTGTCACATTTTGCATTTTTAAAATGCGCCACACATTTCGCTACTGGGGACAGGTCAGTACTGCAGGTAGACCAGTCCAGCACCTGCATCCTCTTCTTCAATAAGCCATGCCTTTGTAATGTAGTGCAGAATGTAATTTTGCATTGTCTTGTTGAAATATGCATGGACGTCTCTGGAAAAGATGTTGTCTTGGGGGCAGCATATCAATGCTGTCAAAACAAAACCTCTTATCTCCATTTTTGTCATTTTCTAGTTTTTGACATAATTTGAAATGTCTATTGCCCTTTACATTGTGTGTAATTTTCGTAATGAATGGACCAAAAGAAATGACCCAAAATTACTTGGAAAAAAGTGGTTCCATTGACTTACATTAAAAGTAAAGCATGTTTTTTCCTTCTTCTGTAAAATTCTCATTTTGGAGATAGGAAGTTTTATTCCAACAGCAGCGTTTTGTTGCATCATCAATGGTGCCGTCACAGGCGCGTAAGTTACCACTGCCAGAGGGCACCGACACAACCCCATACCATGACCTGGATGGTCCTTTTCATCCACACTGTGCTAATTTCTCACAAATAAAGGTGTGAAATGTTGATTCGACCAAATACACGTTTCCACTGTGTGACGATCCGTCCAAGGTGCCTCTGAGCCCAGGTAAGTTAATATAAGGCTATCCTTGGGCACAGGAAGTGGCATTTGTGAATGTAACTACATATTTTATTGCTTAACAAAGGTTTACCAAAGTAATCCTGAGCTCTTGTGGTTGTACCTCTTACAGATTAATGACCGTTCTTGATGCAGTGCTGTCTGAGGGGTCAGAGAGCACAGTTATTCAGCTCAGGCTTGCACCTTCACCCTTTACCCACTGAATTTCCTCCAGATTCCTTAAATCTTTTTATTAAGTTCTGCACCATAGAGGGTGTAATATCCAAATCCCTTTCTATCTTTCTTTGAGGAGCATTGTTTTCAGATATTTCAATAACTTTCTCACACGTTTGTTGGCAAACTGGTCATCCTCAGCCCACCTTTCATGGGCTTGCTAAAGGATTAGGCCTTTGCTGGACGCTGCTTTTATACCAAACCATAATAACTATCACCTGCATGAAATCACATCATTATTTAACTATTTTACCTAATTACTAACCATAAATTGCAAACCAGCACAACTTTTTGTGGAATTTGGCAGGAATGGATATATATTTACATATTCACATACAAAACAGCAGTGAATGCAGATGCGGATTTTAAGCAAGCCCATGATGTAGCAGTGCTGAAAACTGTACTCTGTAAGTAGCTTCCGTTCATCCAAACATCCTTTAATATTGTAATAATGCTGTGTTTAGTCCATATTGGATTTGCAGTGTTATGTTAGTCTCAAGCTGAAGGCAGTCTGTGTACATTTCTCTTAGACTGGACCTAATACTACTTATGGCAGTTGTAACCTGACAGTGGACACTTGAAAGACTTTTAAAGGGGAAACGATTAAGTGTGGAGACACCTACTAACTCAGATTTCTTTGCAGTGGGAACCAGATGTGGCGATATCTACAGCACAAATATATCCATTTATTTAGCCAAAGCCACCAGTCTTCTGAATGTGGTGTTGTTGGTGACAGTGGTCAAAAAAACTTTAAAAGTTTAATTTTGGCAGTATTTTGTTTTATTGAAAATATGTTTTAAGCCAAGAGTTTCTCTGAAAACTGTTATAAAAAACATCTAAGGCATCAGGTAGCACATTTAATAAATATCTGTGAGGGAGCTTTCAGAGGCATTAAACTCTTCAGACATCTGGTTCCTATCACCACCACTGTGACCAACTCTGACCAAACCACTCACCAAACCACTCTGAATGACTTTGTTTACATCTTAGCCATTTAATCACGCAGAGTTTTTCAAAATCGGTGGAATTCCCCTTAAACTCACATACCTTATATGTTGCAGTTTTAAATTGAATCCTTCAGTCAATAATTCAACTGAAAACCTAACTAGCCTGTTAGCCGGTTAGCTGACAGCTGAGCTGGTCATCCTAGACTAACTTAGATCTCCACATGTGAATCTTAGATCAACTCAGATGTTCAGCACTGTCTCAGTGTGTAAAAATGAACAATAAATCACCAAATACTCTAAATACTGCTCATTTTTCATATGCATCTTTTATTTTCAGTACGATTGATTGATTGATTAATATGATTGGGTGTTTTTTACTTGAATTTGTTCATTTTACTGTAATTATGTAAGAAGCTGTAGATCACCAGCTTCTGGAATTTTAAGACATTTTAATTCTGCCTTGTGTGAAGCTGTAGATAATTTTAATTCTGCCGTGTGTTTCTTTCACTGCAGCCTCTTGACGCAGACAAATGGATACTTCAGGTCGCACGGAATGTCATTCCAGTTCCTCTCATCTGTAGGCAAAGAGAAACAAGGTTTAAAACTAACTGATATAATAATGTTCAGGATTAGGAGAATAAGCAGAACTTAATGAAACACAGTGGTGCTTGGAAGTTTGTGAACCCTTAAGAATGTTCTACAGACAGACTGTGTACAAGTGGAGGAAATTCAAGATCATTGTTATGCTCCCCAGGAGTGGTCAACCAACAAAGATCATGCCAAGAGTAAGGTGTGTAATGGTCTGCGAGGTCACAAAGGAACCCAGGGTAACTTCTAAGTGGCCAATGTTAGCAGTCATGAGTCCACCACCAGGAGAACACTGAACAACAATGGTGTTCATGACACGGTTGCAAGGAGAAAGCTGCTGCTCTTCAAAAAGAACATCGCTGCCCATCTGCAGTTTGCTATAGATCACATGGACAAGCCAGAAGGCTATTGGAACAATGTTTTGTGGACAGATGAGACCAAAATAGATCTTTTTAGTTTAAAGGAGAAGCATTATATTTGGAGAAAAAAAACTGCATTCCAGCATAAAAACCTATCTGTGAAACACGGTGGTGATAGTATCATGATTTGGGCCTGTTTTGCTGCATCTGAACCAGTACAGCTTACCATCATTGATGGAACAATGAATTCTGAATTATACCAGCAAATTATACAAGCACAAAAAGGGAAATGTCAGGACATTTGTCTACTATTAGGACTTGTGTCAAAATCTGATGAAGTTTTAGGTCAAATTTATGCAGAAATCTAGAAAATTCTAAAGGTTTCACAAACTTTCAAGCACCACTGTATCTTCTGTTCTTCTTCTGTTTAAGTTTTAACTGATACTTACGGTCCTCGTTCATGTGCACACAGCACTCTCCTTTGTGATTTGGCTCATTTTTATTCCACTTTCTGTACATAAACATGGTCCCATCAGACCAGAACCAGCTGTTCTTCTACAAAGACAAACAAACATTCACATAAAAAAATTACACTAAACTTTAAGATTTTTAAAAGTACCAAACTAGATATTTCGGTAACACTTTCTATGAATGTCATGTTTGTAAGCATTTATAAACACATTCGTAACATGTTATAATACATTCAAAAGGCATCATAAACATGGCTAGAAATATTTATAAAAATGCATTACACATTATAGCCATGCTTATTATGCATTATGAATTGTTAACATAATGCGTAATAAGTACTTTTCATAACAAATTATAAGAGCTCATAAGTGGTATTTGTGCGCTCTAAGTAAAGTGAAGCATACCGTACTAAAGCCTCTTCCAGTGAGGCTTCAAGTTGAAGTATTTACTGAATAATTTACTGAAACACTAAAACATACACAATAAAGCACATTACAGGCTTCAAATGTCAGAGTTTAAACTAGTGCTGCCATCAGTGTTTTACCCAATGTGGGAAGGGTAATGTACACCACTGTTAGCTTGGCCCTAACTTAACACTGCTTATAATGCATTATAATAACAATTCATAATGTATAATAAACATAGCTATAAAGTGTAATTCAGTGTAATTCATTTTTATAAATATTTATGACCATGTTTATAATGCCTTATGAATGCATTATAACATGTTATAAATGTGTTTATAGATGCTTACAAACGTGACATTCATAGAAAGTGTTACCGATTTTTCTTTAGTGAAGGTATTTACACATGCCCTTTGCTGAGATATTGAGAATGACAGCATGTGAAACATCTGAATTTGGTTCATTATCATTTTTTATGTATGCCTAAATGCACTTATTTTCAGGCTAAACTCAGAAGGACATTAACATTGTTGGATTAGTATTACAGAGAAATAACACTCTTTTTTTATATTTTACTGTTCTTTTGGACAACATACATCATAAAATATCCGTTTGAAATATCTGTTCAATTTAAACATGCGTCCAATCACAATATAGTTTTGATAAATTATCTGCTGATACAGACATCAAATCCAATATTATTATGCATCTCCAACTGCTACACAATTGCCTTTGATAATATTTTTACTCTATTCATTCATTTTTATTAGTTATTATTTTATTAGTTTTATTAGTTACTTTTGTCTCCACTGCAATATCATCTTCTGTTTCTTACCATGTAGGATTCTCGCTGGGGTCGTAATAACGGATGAGAGCTTTCACCATCTGATATTCACTTTCACTGTGTACTGAGACCAGGTTAGCACCCCGATTCAGACAATAAGCCTGGAAAGACAGTGAAGATCTGCAGTTATTACTGGATTACTGATAAAATACAAAACAGAGAACGTCTATTCAAATTGCTGTCTAGTCCAGGACTGGGATTATTCCCTATCTGGGAAACCAGCCCATAATTTATAAACAGCATAATACAACCCCATTTTCAAAAAAGTTGGGATGCTGTGAAAAATGAGAATAAAAACAAAATGCAATAATGTACAATTCATTCAAACCTTACATTTAATTGAAAATCATACAAAGACAACATATCAAATTTTAAAACTGGGTTAGAATTTTTTTTTAATTTGATGCCAGCAACAGGTTTCAAAAAAGTTGGGACAGGGGCAACAAAAGACTGGTAAAGTTGTGTAATGCTGAAAAAAAAAAACACCTGGTGGAACATCTCACAACTATGTAGGTTGATTGGCAACAGGTCAGTAACATGATTGGGTATAAAAAAGGGCATCTCAGAGAGGCTGAATCTTTCAGAACTTAAGATGGGGAGCGGTTCACCACTCTGTGAAAGCTTTTGCAGTAAAATGATATTTGTCAGAGTGAAAGAGCAAACAACTTGGGGATTTTGTCATTTACAGTACATAATATTAATAAAAGATTCAGAAAATCTGGATAAATTATTAAAATATTTCACTTCCAAAACTACAGTAATTGGTCTTCTCAGTTCCCAAACGCTTGCAGTGTTGTTAAAAGAAGAGGTGTTGCAACACAGTGGTAAACATGTCCCCGTCCCAACTTTTTTGAAATGTGTTGCTGGCATTAGATTTAAAATGAGCATATATTTAAAAAAAACAATAGAATTTCTCAGTTTGAACATTTGATATGTTGTCTTTGTACTATTTCAATTAAAAATAGGGCTTGAATGAATTGTATCATTGCATTTTGTTTTTTATTTTATTTTTCATTTCATTTTTTGGAAATGGGCTTGTATACATTGTACATCAAATCCTAAAATTATAGATTTTCCATTTGACCATGAAAGCTGTGCTGTACACTGTAGGTCATACTGAATGGAGTACACAGTTAGCTGTCAGTTTCAGTCTAGACGCTTATGGTACTATTTAATTCCTGATTGTGCTTCTCTATAAGGGTCGTGCTCATCTGTCTGAGTTTACCTCAGCAGAGGCCCAGTCCAGTTTTTGACCAAAGTAGCTGAAGGAGCGTCCATTGAACCTCACCCAGCTGTATGGAAAGTTGTGGATACCTGAATACCTCAGAAATGCCTTATTTTGTGGCCTCTTGACTTGTTCTGTTTAAGAGAAGCAATAGTTTTAATTTTTCAGAGGCAGTTGATTCGTTATTACAACTTGATTTTAGGTTTTAAATCAGAAAAGTGAAGCAGAGTGATTTTCTTTGACCTGAGCAGTTCTTTACCTTTAATTAATGCATTAAAATCAGCCTCTAGAAAAACAGATAGAGAATGACGTTAATACAAAAGCTGTATTAAAAATGGTTTTATATTTGAAGGATATCCTGAAGAGCTGAACTGCCATCATTACCTGATACAAGTTTTTTCCCCAAATCTGAGACAAGAGAAAAAAATTGTCATCCTCAATCACATAATAATCATGCAGGCTGTCACTTTATATTATATGTGGTGCCTTTATCTGCATTATCCTGTTAGGAAACAGGTGAAACGTACCAGAAGCTGATGCAGCCACGAAGAGAACAAACAGCAATATCCCACGAACCATAATGGCTCTTCTTCAGCAGATAAAAGAAAGGTCTGAGGTAAGTAAGTGAAGTATAAAGTGTTAAATACCAATAAAGCTAAATTTTCAGCAATGTTTTCGTACCTGCAGGTAGCTCTTTATGTAGATGAAGATGAGGAACCTCTTGTGATTTGGTGATTAGATGTCCTGCTGTGGAGAAAGTGCTGTAGTTTTATACTCTTGGAAAAGTGCTGGACTCCCTTCAGAAACCCCAGATCCCACCCACCTCTTCTTGTTGGAGGCAATGCTGATTGAAACATGATTTTTATTGGCAACCATCCAGCTACACGTTCTCCATCTTGTTTGCTCTTGTTGCTGCCAGCCAGATTGATGTTTATTAGATTTACAGATGTCGTGAATTCACTGGTAACCACGCTATACATACACAGCCTTAAAAACACAAAATATTTTGATGCACTGTATCCTTATGAGCTAAGGCTACAAGACCAAATGTCAGAACTATGACAAGAATGGAAATAAAGTATTTTTTCTGAATAAAATGTTAACATCATCATAACTGGTAAAGAGAGCATTCTGTATGATGCTTACTTTACTATTTAAAAACATATTTGTGCTAAAGATGCTTTTGGACAACCCAGTGATGCTTTGTAAATATTTTATTGTGAGTAAAAGTTTTATATAGATTTCTGCACAGATTTAAAAAAAATGTGTTTCAGCCAATTGAACAGGCCAGATGTGTTGGCCACTGGATAAGCTAACTAGGCTAGAGGAGCCGGTTAGCAACTAAACCATGGAACGGGTTTAATTTCAGCTTTCTGTCCCTTCAACACCACCTACTCGACTCGGCTTCCTCAGATTTGACTCATTGGCATGTAAACTTGTGTCCGTGTTCTATGAGTCAGGATTGGACCAGTTTAGTTTGCCTTTTAACATTTAGCAGTTGTTACTAGATGGTTTAGCATTTATTCCATGGTGGATTGAAAATCATGTACTGATTTCATTTATTTAGTGATCATGTAAGTGAACTGAACGTATTTGATTATTTGATTGGCGGCACAATAACGCTGTAACCGTAAAATCAATCAGCAAATAGCTACGCCATTGAATCTTCCACCAAACTGTTCTGTGGACCTGAACACTGTTAGCTAACGTTGTTCAGAGAATCACTCTGAGCACGGTTTGTATGTGTTCCATGTTGAACTGTGTCGGTGTGGAAATGCCACTAGAATGGTTCCTCTCTGTGCTCAGAGCCATTCGGCCCCACAGTGGAAAAGAGGCCTGATTCACTTGCTGATGGTTTAACAGCTGTTAATCTAATATCAGTACTTAGGTAACATTTTGAGTGGTACTTTGTAGATGATTAATAAACTTTCAGCAGAGTATCAACACCACATCAACAACACATCAGTGAAGTAGCAGTACTGCAGCATCTGAATACACTGAAGTAAATATCTTGTAGATGCTCTGTTGATACATTATGTATCACTGTTAATATGCTACATGAAATGGACTTAATATGTTACTTCCATTAAGCAAAACCTAACCTTACCCAACCTCATCCAAACCAGGGTACACTGGCCCTCATCCTAATCTTAACCTCAACCCTAAACCCTAATCTTAACCCTAACCTTAACCAAAACCTAATCCGGTTAAGATCCAGGTACAGAATAGCATCAGCAGTGTGTCTATAACAGAGATGGTCTGTATTAGACCTGTTACTTGTTCAGTGACCTCTCAGGTTAAACATCTACAGATATGAACCTGGATCCTCCAAATAAAGTGAAAAACTACTGAATTGAGCAGATTATAAACAAACTGTACTGACACAGTTAAAAGTCTCTTTAAAATGTACTGAATGTATTCACTGCTGCTACATAAGTAAGATGATGTTAAAATGTCTGTTGAGTGTTTATTTCTTCTAAAAAGCACCACTCAAAATAAAATGTCGCCTTGATTTAATGCAAGATGACAATGATTCACCACGCAGGGCTAAAGTCAACAACAAGGTGGCTCAAACAGAAGAAATTCCATAGTTCAGAATAAACCTCAATGT